AAATACAAGTATTGTCCTGCTACAGAGTGTTTTGTGTGTGTGCTGCAACACGTGTAGACGCTGACCCAGCTGGCTGGGGCATGAGGGTATTTCAGTGCAGGGGCTGCCTGCCAGCTAGCACAGGGGTGGGCAAAATGCGGGCCGGGGGCCGGATGCAGCCTGCCAGGCCATTGTATCCAGCCCGTGGGCCCCTAAAAAATTCAGAAAATTAGTATTTATCTGCCTTGAGTTGCCTGTCATGCAGCCCTCAATGGCTTGCCAAAACTCAGTAAGCGGCCCTCTGCCCAAAATAAGTGCCCGCCCCTGAGCTAGCGCCTCACTGAAGCACCCTTGTGCCCCAGCCAGCCCCTCCACATCATGTTGAGCCGGGTCCTGCTGCCAGCCAGGGCTGCTCCGATGTGGCTGAACATGCTTGGTCCCAGGCACATGTTGAGACGGTGCACGTGGGAACAATGAACATCATTAATACATGCTTGTAGATGCGCCCCCCTATTCCTGTGCCTCGGGGAATTGTTGCCATCTCCACGTTAGAGAAGAGGAAACAGACAGGGAGGTCCTGGCGTAAATTTTCAAGTGTCCTGCAAGTTTCGGGCGCCGTAGTATTTGTGTCCAATTCCAGACACCTTGGAAGTGCTAAGCTTTTGCAGCTTCCTCTCTCGTTGGTTGTTACTGGGGGTTCTCAGCACCTCTGAAAATAAACCCCTAGATAGCTTAGGCTGAGAACGTCAGGGCTGAAAGACCCTACAACTAGTTGACTCTTATGGAAAATATTGGTTATCAAGGTGGCTCTAGAAATGCTGTTTTATTTGTGCCGCAATGAATTGGCAAGTAGAGGGATATCAAGATTTTAAATGAATCTCGCATGCTATCATTAAAATGCATACAGTCCAGAGAGGACAGATTGTCACAGCCACCAAAACAGAATTGCATGTAGTACTTAACAGGCTAGCCAGCTGGTAGAGGCTCTTCCAGTGCAAGGTAAAGGTTCACATTGATGCTGAATTTTGTTTGCTTTGTATCCTTTGGAGATAGTCATTTGGTGACAGTGAGTAACTGAAACAGCCTTTAAACTGAATGATGACATTGGGGAATGCAGATCTATCAGTAAAAGGGCATACGTGTACATTATGTTTCAGCAAATGCTCTAGAACAGCATTGGCTTTATTCATTTTTTTATTAGCTTGTTATTACTTGATATTCACATATGCAAAACTGTAAGGACTGCAACATCTTGCCTGTTTCTTCTCATGTTTAATTAGCATTTTTCTTAATCTTATTTTAATTTTTCACACTGGCAGTATAATAAAATGTTACTGTGGTATTCTTAACAATTAAATTATATTGGCACATAGAGACTTCAAGGAACTTGACCTTTTTCAAACCTAGCCTGGCTTTGACTGTAGTAGCTAGACTATTAATTATGTTTTTATTGGAAGATGCATTGAGACCATGTCTGGGCAGTTCAATTTAGTTGTATATAGATGTGGTCAAAAGTGTTTCCAAACAAATGCATCAAGAAGAAGGGGCTGCTCCTCTAAGAACTACTGGTATAGGAAAATGGTTTATGTAGTTGTACTTAGCTCTAATTGGGTTATCAGCTGAGGCTCCGAGGATTAAATGAACTGTCCTAAATCCTGGGTCTCAGTTAGGGGTTAATGTGTAGTTTCATCTATAGGAGCTGATTTGGTTTCTAAAAGACCCTCCAGAGCATTTTATCTTTATATTGAAACTGTGAAGCCATCTTTGAATCATTTATTACAGTTCACACCAAGCAGTAGTCAGTTTGAGAATAAACACTCAAAACTGATTAAACAGCATCTGAAGGAAACACCTGATCCGTCCCAGCTCCGCAGATTGTTACACAGAAGTAGCCAGAGACAGGCTGATTAGACCTAGATGACGTCTGGGTATTATTGCTGGTATTGTAGGTTATTATTTCAGATAATAACAGATGGCGGAGAGACGGAGAAATCATCCATTTTCATTTACAAATGGTTCTTTATTCTCCAAGAGACAGGATCGCTCAAATCATTGCTGTCAGGTAATTCCCTGGAAGAAAAACCTTATTTACTATGATGGATTTTTTTGGAATTATTTTTTCCCCGTAGTGTACATCAGGGAAGACTCCATAGGACCAGAAGCAAAACAGTAAGGGAGGATGAGTAAAATCACTATCCAAGGGGCTGAGGATTCGCAGAGAGGCTTGGCATAGATCTTGGAGGAGCAGTTTAATGGGTCAGTGAGAATCAGCGTGTGTTGGGCTTCAGGCTCTGGACATGTAGACAGGCATGTACACCACCATTTAGTTTGATTTTTTTCCTGTTCACTAAGCAAGCTTACTTTTTTTTCCTTCCAGGACTGTAAACAATATCTATCCTTTTGGGAAGGAGACAGAAAATTAAAGTGTGAAAGAGCTTTGTAACCTAGTAATTCCTCTGCATTTCCTTGCAGATAGTTAGAGAGCCCACGGAAAGGTGCCAGGTATTGTTCTAAACATCGTAGGCACTCAGTAGCCACCAGCGATTCAGACCGGCCATTCCAGAAGAGCAGAGTTGGGAAGGATTATTTGTGCCACGTGCATAAACAGAAAAATTGTTCTTGGCCAAATTCTCAACTCTCATATCCAGAGCAGAGCTGAATTTTCACTACCAGAGATACCCGAAAACAGTTGGCAAGTTCTGTAGCCAGTGTAAATGGGGATAGCTCAGTTCAGCCTACATTGATTTACACCACAGTCCTAGCTGGCCCATCTCACCTCTTCCTTTGGCGCTCAGAAGAATAGCACTGCAGAGCATTTGTGAGTCACTTGCTGGCTCAGATGCTCTGTGGGGCAGGTGCTGCTCTTGACTCCACCATTGTAAATCCAGAATGCCCTCTACTGAGGCCACTGGAGTTGGTGTGGATTTCCTGTGGTGCAGCCGAGAACAGACTTGGATCCTGTGCTTTATCTGTGGGCTTGCTTTTCTCAGTATTTTTTCATGATCCGGACAAAAAACTGAAAATGGTTCCTCCAAAATAAAATAGGTGTTTCCTATTGTTACTTCAGGTGAAACAAAGGAGGAGCAGCGAGAAGGACCAGGGGCCTTAGGGGTTTGGAGGCAGTTGTTCAGTGTTGGTTTTTTATTATTTGCAGTAAGCGGGGGGCAATGATTGCCATAGCTAGGCAAAGAAAGTCCTCCTCCTTGCCTTTCCACGTGTCCCACCCATGCCTTCGGAGGTGGCTTCTCTTCCAGATATTGCTGGATTAGAATTGCAGTCAGCCAGCAATGGTTCCTTACCCCTCACCCTCATGCTTGCACCTTGGGACCAATTGTTCTGGCTCTTAGAAAATACTAAATTTGCTTGTTAAGTCCTATAACTAAGAACTGGAGTTGTCCTTTAAAATACTGAATGTATGATCTTTGGGCATGTCCTTGCATTGCTGGGTTGAAAAGTCAAGCACCAGATTTTGTTCTAAAAGTGGGACAAGGTCAGCGTCAGATAATCTAGCTGTTTTTAAGTGCCTCTGTTTGCACTGGTAGCTCAGGCTGTGCTTTAACAATGATGAGTTTCACTGAAAACACCCTAGCAAGTTGTGTATGATATTATGCTGTGACCTGAATGGAATAGTTTGCAAAGGCAGATCATAGAAGGTTTTTTGCTGATTTGCTTGCATTTGTAGCAGATAGCATAAACTAAAGCATGCATGGGAATGAGGTGGCTTTATATTCACGACTGCTTTATCTGTATCAGCCATTCAGGAAGAAAGGAGTTATCTGAAGAAAGTGAATGCAACAGAAAAGGAATCGTATTTTCTGTTGAGTACAAAGTGGATGTTCATGTAGATCTGTTAAGGCCATTGATCAGTTTGGGGAGGATAGCACACACTTTATTTCACCCTTCTTTAAGATGAGTTTTTTTCTGTCCCAAGCTGTATTGAAATATGCAGTTAAAATTGTACTTGCCTCTGGTTTACACTGATGTTTGGTGGAGTTACCTTTAACATACACTGGTGTAAGTAAGGTGAGCATCTAGGCCGCTACATTCATAGTTTAAGATTTGTACTACCTGGCTTTTTGACTTGTTGTAGTTTGACAGATAGCAAATACCCTCTTCGTTGAATGATGGGATTGGAAAACAGGATAGTTCCAACCTGGAGATGTCTTAGTCACTGGACAGAGGTGCTGGTTACCAAGGGTTGAGGTTCTGGTTCTGTTCAGGCCGAGCTCTTGGCCACCCCAGTCTTAGAGTGATAACGTGCACTCTCGTGCGGGCACCGCTGAGAGCAGTCTGTGGTTTGGGCCCTGTTGTCTCCTCTGGTTGTTAGCATAGTAATAACAATAAGCCAGATCCATCCATGCTGTCACACTTCAGGGTCTCCACCTGCCCAGGGACCTCCAGGCTCCCCACTGGGAAGCCCAGAATTCTCTCCAGCAGTCATGTCTCCGTGTCTTTAGACAGATAATAACAACACAGTTGCAGTCTGCCAGGCCATCTCCCCAAGGCAAGAGTGAATAACAGGAAAGAAAAAAAAAAGAATCAGAAAGTAAATAGACACTCTATTTAGACTTTAGTCCAGTCTGATGAGCAGCCACTTCAGAGCCGTCCTCAGAGCACCTCTGCAGCAGGTAAGGGGAGCTGAGCTATGCCAAGGAGAACTCTTGTTCACAGGGAGAAGTTCTCATGCACCCTGTCCTAAGGGGATTAGAGAAAAATCGCTTGAAAGCATTGTACTACCAGGGACCCTCCCTTTTCAGGAGAGCTGTGGCACATTGGAAGTAGGTCTCTGAGATAGACTGGCCTGATGAAAAACAGAAGGACTGACGATGTATCCTAGCCTGTGATGTATCCTATTCTGTGCTTTCACTGCTCCAGTGCTCCAAATAGGTCCTTCCATTTTCTCATGCTTGGCAGGAGAAATCCCTGAAGGCAGGAAAAACCTGAGTACTAGCTTCCTATAGTAAGGCTAATGTCTCATCTCTGGTAAGCCTTTTAAGTCTGTCCCTTGCTTTTTGGTACAGGTTTTTCGTACTGATCTGATAACAGCGATGAAGATCCCCGATTCATACCAGCTGAGCCCAGATGAGTACTATATACTTGCTGATCCCTGGAGACAAGAGTGGGAGAAAGGAGTCCAGGTGCCAGCAAGTGCAGAGGCAATACCTGAACCAGTGGTTAGGTAAGTGAGCGTATTACTGTTTGCATTGCTAGATACATGCTGTCTCTTTTTCCTGTCCTTGGATGGTCTACTTAATTGCTTGGCATTGCTTTGCCTGTCTGTTTATTTGAGGGGCTTCCAAAATAATTTGGGTTTATATGGCTGTCTAAACTGTAATGCAGAGTAAATAAAGCAGGCAGGCTGGGAATGCATGTTAGGTGGAACTGAGTACCAGGCTGGTAAAAAGGGCTTAGGGGAGGGGGCAGATAGAAGCAGCAGAACCAAGTAGAGTCCAGCTGCAGCTGCAGGCTGTGTTGCTGAAAGGGCTCCTGAGACTAGATGGCAGTATACAAGAGGGGAGAAGCAAAGACAAAATCCTCTAGTGGTCCAGTAAAATGTAAGATATGTTGTATCTTTCTGGGAAAATAAATATCTTGTCTTGTAGGGATGTCCAGACTGACCATGATGTTCTGGGAAGAGCATGCTTGAAGCAGCACAAATTTAACAGTACACCAGTGACCATGTGCACAAGTGCCTTAGCTCAAATTAGCGTAGAAATCATGTCTGTGATGGGTGATAGATTTTATGATATGTGAGCCAGTGTTGCAGCATTCACATTGGATTTACTGCTTAAAACAAAACCCTCAGTGTGGCTGGGGAATGTGTTGACAGAAGACCGAGGTGCTAACATAGAGCTTAGGGATGCATGTGAACTCAGGCTTACAACTCCGCCCCACTCCCAGGGCGTATGAAAAGAGGCACCTGATTTTTCAGGAAGAAAACGTCTTTCAAAGGCACAGTAATAATGCCTGCCTTAAATGAGGGAGAAAAGCACTGTCAGGGATGCCAGCAGTCTATGTGCTCATGGTAACGGCATTTCAAAAAGGTCTTTGGGTTTGGGCAGGGTAAAATAAATATAAGAATCCACACAGACATTAATCTGGTGAGTGACTTGTGGGCATATAGGACCCATCTAGAAACATCGCATCTCTGCCTAAGTCCTCCTGAAGTCTGTGGTGTCACAACTCAGGTTGATAAGACTTGGCCTCAAGATGTGAGCCTGCTGTCTGTGCAGTGGATTTTCATTTTCACGCATTGCAGATACAAGACGAAAGCCTGAATTTGGAGGGGACAAAGGGGAACTGCGGCCATTAAGTGGGCAGACAGTCACCAAAAGCTACATAAAACAAGCCTATCAGTATAGATAAATATAACATGAATAAATATTTAAATATAGGCAGCCATAAAAGTTAAGTAGCTGGTCCGATGGGAGAGGTTGAGTATATTGCTCTTGTCCATACAGAGGATGAGCACTTGGAAAAGGGTAGCAACAGCATCTCTCTCTGCACTAAAATTCAAGGTGACCTTTTTATAGCCATGGAGTAACCCTTGTGCTCAGATTCTATAATCCTTATGGCATCATCAAGAAATTGCAGGAAAGGGGATCCTGTCTCCTACGTGGGGTGCAGGTGTGAGACTGTATCTCAATTTTGGGGTTGCTGGTTTCTGCCTTTACAGAATCATAGAAACTTAGGGCTGGAAGGGACCTCAGGAGGTCATCTAGGCCAACCCGCTGCTCAAAGCAGGACCAGCACCAACTAGATCATCCTAGCCAAGGCTTTGTCTAGCCAGGTCTTAAAAACTTCCAAGGAGGGAGATTCTGCCACCTCTCTGAGTAACTTGTTCCAGTGTTTTACTACCTTCCTAGTGAGAAAATTCTTCCTAATATCTAACTTACACTCCCCTTGCTGCAACGTGAGACCACTGCTCCTTGTTCTGTCACCTGCCACCACTGAGAGCAGTCCTGCTCCATCCTCTTTGTAACCTCCCTTCAGGTAGCTGAAGGCTGCTATTAAATCCGCTCCCAGTCTTTTCTCTAGATTAAATAAGACCAGTTCCATCAGCCTGTCCTCCTATGTCATGTCCCCCAGCCCCCTCACCATTTTTGTTGCCCTCCGCTGGACCCTTTTCAGTTTGTCCGCATGCTTTCTGTAATGGTGGGCCCAAAACTGAAAATAGAACTCCAGATCTGACCTTACCAGTGCTGAATAGAGGGAATAATCACTTACTTTGCCCTGCTGGCAACACTTCTACCAATGCAGCCAAGTATGCCATTAGTCTTTTTGGGCACACTGCTGGCTCATATTCAGCTTACTGTCCACTGTAACCCCCAGGTCCTTTTCTGCAGAGCTGCTGCCCAGCCAGTCAACCCCCAGGTTGTACCAGTGCATGGGATTCTTCTGGCCTAAGTGCAGGACTTTGCATTTGTCCTTGTTGAACCTTGTTAGATTCCTGTTGGCCCAAACCTCCAATTTGTCTAAGTTACTCTGAATCCTAGCCCTACTCTCCAGCATATCTGCTACTCCCCCCAGCCTGGTGTCATACGTAGATTTGCTGAGGGTGCACTCTGCCATCTACCAGGTCATTGATGAAGATATTGAACAAAACCAGTCACAGGAGTGACCCCTGGGGCACTCCACTTGATAGTGGCAGTCAACTAGACATCAAACATTCATTAGTACCCTCCAAGCCTGATGCTCCAGCCAGTTTTCTGTCCACCTTACAGTGCATTCATCCAGCCCATACTTCTTTAGCTTGCCTGTGAGAATGTTGTGGGAGACCGTATCAAAAACCTTGGTAAAATCAAGGTATACCACATCCACAGGTCTCCCCACATCCACAGAGCCAGTCACCTCATCATAGAAGGCAGTCAGGCTGGTCAGGCATGATTTGCCCTTCGTTGGTGAATCCATGCTGGCTGTTCCTGATCACCTTCTTCTCCAAGTGCTTAGAAATGGATTCCTTGAGGATCTGCTCCATGATTTTTCCAGGGACTGAGGTGAGGTTGACTGGTCTGTAGTTTCCTGGATCCTTCTTTTCCCCTTTCTTAAAAATGGACACTATGATGGTCCTTTTCTTATCGTCTGGGACCTCTCCTGATTGCCATGAGTTTTCAAAGATAATGGCCAGCAGCCCTGCAGTCTCATCAGCCAACTCCCTCAGCACCCTTGGGTGCATCCCATCTGGCCCCATGGACTTGTATGTGTCCAGCTTTTCAAAGTAGTCCCTAACCTGTTCTTTCACCACTGAGGGCTGCTCAGCTTCTCCCCAAACTGTGCTGCCCTGTGTAGTAGTCTGGGAGCTTACCGTGCTTGTGAAGATTGAGATGAAAAGGGCATTGGGCACTTCAGCCTTTTCTGCATCCTGTGTCACTAGGTTGCCTTCCCCATTCAGTAAGCGACTCACACTTTCCAAGATCTTTTTCTTGTTACTGATATACTTGCAGAAACCCTTCTTGTTACCCTTCACGTCCCTTGCTAGCTGCAACTCCAGTTGCTCTTTTGCCTTCCTGACTTCATCCCTGCATGCCCAAGGAATACTCTTATACTCCTCCCTCATTGTTTGTCCAAGTTTCCACTTCTTGTAAGTTTCCTTTTTGTGATGTAGTTTACTAGAGGTGCACCAATAAAGATTTTTCTGGCTGATAGTGATGGCTAATTATTAACAAGCCATATTGGCTGATATTGATCCAACAGCCCATATGCAGCCCAGCAGCTTGGAGAGCAGCATGTGGCTGGTAAGTGTGTGGGGAGGAAGGGGGGGGTGGGCAGATCAAGGCTCCCATGGTAAGGGAGGGAGTGAGGCGGGGACAGAGTAGGCACTGCTCAACCGGGGTGGAGCACGAGACAGAACCGTGGACAGCTTGGCCGGGGGGCGGCTCCCACCACTGAGTGCCCCCCTGGTGGAGGCATGGGGGGCATGTGACCCGCAGCTGTGTGCATGGTGCAAGAGCAGGCTGCCCTCTGTGGGCTCGGGGATGGGAGCTGCGCTGGCCTCTTCCTGGTGGTGGGGCTGGGCCAGGGCTGCTCTTGGGGTGGGTGGGGCAGGCAGGGGTGGTGCTGGGAGGGAGGGCTACAGGTTGGGCTACAGCCACCCCAAAATTTGCCAAATGCCTTCCATATCGCTCCCTCCTAGTGCTGCCATCATCCACCCTAAGCACAGCCCTGGACCAGCCTCCCCGCTGGGAAGAGGCTGGCGCAAACCCTGGCCCTGAGCCTATGGCAGGCAGCTCCACCCTCACCC